ATCTGTGGAAGCACGATGGTAGCCCCCTCCCTACACACACCGAGGAGGGGTGCTCACTGGGTCTGTCACTTAACACTGGGCTCGCAGGACCCGCGCTGTCCGGTGTGCTGACACGCACTTCCAGCGTGCGTACCATTTGGATGCACGCTGCTCTTGCTACAGTACAATCTAAGCTGCACTTCTGCTGGCCTTCAGACAGAGCTCATTATTGTCACCGCTGTCACTTAAACCCTCTGTCAGGACTAAGGAGTACTTTCTCTTTTACCTCTGCCCAAGTCCTCTACCTCACTGCCTCACAAGGCAGGGCTTACAGGAAAGCCACACAGGTCAACCCCGTCCCTCAAACAGAGCTTTCTCTAGGCAAAGCAACACCCCCGTGCTACCCAATCCCAGCGGCTGTGGTGGCGGCTGTCTCAGCTCTGGAGATCATGGCTGTCCTGCAGCGTGTTCCCGCTACCCTAACGCACAGCTCTACCGTACACCCTGCCCCTTTGGCCTGGCTGGGCAGAGCTAACAGAGTGGGTGCTAGTCTGCTCGGCCAGTGGCTAGGACGGAGGCTGCAACAGAACTTGCTCAATGTCTCCAAGGAAGACCATATAGAACCTGGGTCCTTTTGCTGACCCCTCAGACTGAGGAGGTGGGCAGATGTGGCTGTCTCTGAAACCAAGGAGACAGGCCTGGAACAGGGGAGTCAGGGGCCATGGAGCCCCATGCCTGGTCCAGTGGTTGGGGTGCGTGTCCTGACCAGAAAAGCCAGGATCTGGGCAGAAAAGGCTCTTCACAGGTTGGGTGTGCCACTCCTCTTCCCCTGATCTAACTCTACTTTTTTTCTGCCAGGTTTTTTCCATAGGGCATGTGTGCTCACCAGAGAGACGGAAAGTGAGAAATCACCCACCATACCTGGAGTGGGGCAGGGGAGAACAGCTTGATTTAAGTCACCAGATCTGGGACTCATGTGGGAGTCCAACCCCTTAACCACCATGCCATCTGCTGGCTCCCAGTATATTAACTCTTTTTTTTTTTTTTTTTTAGGGAGAGTTTTGCTATAGTGAGCTGGCTGGAGAGACAGAGAGAGAGAGAGACAGAGTGCAGAAAGTGAGAAATCACCCCCCTCCCAGGGGGGATGGCCACACTGCAATCCCTTCTCTGTTCTCTCGGGACTTAGGGCACGCACACGCACCCAGCATGAGTTTTAAGCCACTATGTCCAGCACTTGAACTACGGTCAACTATGTGGGAGTCCAGGGATGTAACCATTATGCCAACTGCTGGTCCCGGTATTAACTCTTAAAGTTCCTTATCAGTGTCAAAGGTGTCAGTCAGGCAGCTTTTGATAAACGCCTTTTTCATTCTCCTCCTGCCAAAATCCTGGCTTCCTTTAGTAAAGATTCTGGTAAAGAGCACAGGAATTGGAGTCAGACTTGGGTTTAAGTCCTGCCCCATCCCTCCATGCTGTGAGGTCTTCCAATCATTTCTAAGTCCTGATTTGCAACCAGTTGAAGTAAAAGGAAAATCAGCGATCCCTGCGAATATGGCGCTCCCAGCGGCGTGGTTCGTGCAGGCTGCGGCCTGCAGCCTGCGCACGACCTCGGTGAGCCAGCCTACCCGCAGCGACCCTGGCGGCTGCGGGTGGGCGCTGTCCAGACGCTGTGCACCGGACCGGCTCTGCTGTCGGTGCGTAAATTTACGGAGAAACATGAGTGGATAACAAGAGAAAATGGTACTGGAACAGTGGGAATCAGCAATTTCGCACAGAAAGCTTTGGGAGATGTTGCTTATTGTAAGTCTGCCTGAAGTTGGGACAAAACTGAACAAGAGGAGTTTGGTGCTTTGGAAAGTGTAAACACTGCTAGTGAACTCTATTCTCCTCTGTCAGGAGAATTCACTGAAATTAATGATGTTCTGGCAGAAAATCCAGGACTTGTCAATAAATCTTTTTTTTTTTTTTTGAGGGGGTTTTTCTCACAGCGCGTGCACTTGCCAGACAGAGAGAGAGAGAGAGACAGAAAGCAAGAAATCACCCCCCAGGGGGGATGGTCACGCCGCAATCCCTTCTCTTCCATTCTCCTCTCGGGATCTTGTGCACGCACGCACACTCGCCCGGCATGAGTTTTAAGCCATCGGGTCCGGGACGCAAACTGCAGTCGACTACGTGGGAGTCCAGTGACATAGCCATTATGCTAACTGTTGGTTCCCTTAATAAATCTTGTTATGAAGATGGTTGGCTGATCAAGACGACACTGAGTAACCCTTCAGAACTAGATGAACCAATGAGTGAAGATGCTATGAGAAATATGTAAAGTCTATTGAAGGGTAAAAGTAGAATCCTTAAAAAAAAGTAGTGTAAGACAACTTAATCCAGGCATAGTTGTCTTAAATTAGTGGTTGATATAAGACTTAAATTGCAACTTTTAGCAATACCAGTGGAAAAAGAAATGAACACAACTACTGGAAAGAAAAACCCCTTAATTTTCTAATGATCATATTTTTAATAAACACAAAATGCATCTTTTTCACAATAAAAAAAGAAAGGAACATCAGCATCTGCCTCTCCCTTCTCTCCAGAAGTAATGAGGAGGTAATCTGATGAGACGGGTTGTTTGTAAACTGTACAGTGTTCTTACTTCTGAGATCTAAGCAAGTCTTCCTGGCAGTTCAACCTCTTTCTCCCCAACCTTTCCTAAGACATGGACCGGCAGCTTAGAGTCCAACAGAGACACACCCCAAGTGAATTTAATGAATTCAGCCAACATCTGTTTAGGCCCACTCTAAGCCAGGCTCCAGGACACATGCAAAGACAGATACAGGTCTGCCCCTGGTTCACCCAGCTGGGCAGAGTGCCTGTCTGCTCACACAGTGGCTAGGGCAGAGGCTCCAACAGAACTTGTTCCATGTGGCTGGGACAGACTTCACAGGCATTGTTGGAATGTGGGTTCCTTCTGTGACCCCTCAGTCAGGTGGAGGTGGGCAGATCTGACTCTTTGGAAAAACAGGATGAGGGGCATGGAGCAGGGGAGCTGGGTCCAACGGTGGAGTCAAGGGGGCTATTTAGGCTCTCAGGGCTCCCCCTTCACTGTCTGGGAGACACACAAAATAATCCTGCTTTGGCCTGACTCAGGAGGGTAGCATGGAGGACAAAACGAGAACAAAACAAGAGCAAGGAGAAACTGCTTAAAGGAAATAGCTTTACAAGCGAGGAACCTTTTTTTCTTCAAGATCCTCCCCAGTAAAGCTGAGATCATCTTAGAAGGCTTGTTACTCTCATGCTGAAGGTCCCACTGCGAGTTTAATGGTCTGAGTCAAAGGCATCTGAGCCCGTCCACTCCCTCCCCTGCAAATCACCTCTACTAAAATATCCAGTCAGTACAGTGCATCCTTCCAGTGGCAGAGCCCCAACTCTCTTCTTTATTCTTTCCACTGACCCACTGCCCACAGCGCATGGGTACTTGTGCGATGCTTGCTGACTGAGGGAAATGCGGCTCATCCTACCGCAGCCACAGACCTCAGCCCAGAGGACCTGGGAGTCACCCTCTCCATGACTTCCCCTGTTCCAGATGCTGGCTCAGACAGGAGACTTCTCCAGCCTTTGTCCAGATTCTGAGAACTGACCTATTCAACAGAGTAACAACGAAAACAAAAACTCTTGAGAGGCCAGGCATTTCCCACTTCCGTTTCCCATCCATCTCCTGCAGCAATTTCTGTCTTGTTCTAATTACAGTCAGGGGTTAGGGGTGTTCAGATGATCAGGTTTTCACCCACACCAACAATTACATTAACAGCTCTCTTTGCCTCTGGGTGTGGAAAAGGCAGAACGGACAGCTGCACTGGGATCTGAGCAGTCCTAGCCCAGACTTTTGCTGCCTAAAATATCTCACACACACCCTGAACTGTTCTATTCCCAGAAATAACCTTACGCAATTTGATTGTATTTTATGTCTTCCAGGATCCTTTTAAAATGCAAGCATCCTGGAAGAAGCAACCATATTCCTCTGGTCCTAACTCGGTTCTCACACAATACCTGCACCCTACAGTTACTGAATTAAATTAGCTACTAGACTCCTGTCCTCCTAGACCATAGGGGTATGGGAGGCTGTGGAGGGTGGGGCCTGCAGGGCTCATTTCACCAACCTCAACACTCCGCCTATGCAGCTCTCCCCGCCCCAGCCAGATAACCGATAACTGAAGTTCTCATGAAAGTAAATCTGAAATAGCCAAATATGGAAACTCTACAGGAGGTGGCAGAACAGGCAGAGAAAGTCGGCTTGAGTGCCCCAGTGGGACCAGCAGGAAGAGCCTGGCCCCGATAAGTCACCGACATTTCTCAGATTTGCGGAGATCCTGCAGAGCAGTAACAAGGGAGACAAGGAATTTGAAATTCCTCGAATTCTCTGGGTGCCCTGGAAGACTCATTTCACTTCTTGCAGCCCTGGTTTGCTTCCAAATCCCTCCAAGCTCACCTAGTGGTGTTTCTAAATCAGCACGCACAATCGAACGGTTGGTGGAAGTCTCCGTTCTCTGCAATGTTAAAGTTTCATCCTGGAGTTGCTCTGGTTGGAAAGTCTTGCAAAGGTGGAGGGGATGCCTGAGACTGTGCAAAGGGGCCCGTGGCGTGCAGTGCAGGGGTGCGAACCTGCCTCAAAGTCTCCCTGCCTGCGCACCCCGACCTGAACTTGTCCCCTCCACTCCACGGCCGCGCTCGGAACCCCCAGGCTCAGTCCTCGTCGCCCCTCTCCCCTGCTAGGCCGCCTGCCCCGCCCGGCTCGCGCCATCTCAGCCCGGAGCCCTGCAGTCTCCCGCCATATAGACCAGTGCGGGGCTGGCTGGATGCGAGTAGGTCGGGCGGCCAGGCCTGGGGGCTCCGCGACCAGAAGCGAGGCTCACGCCGCCGCGGAGCTTTCGGTTTCAAAGTAACTGACAGGCCGAAAAGCGCTCTTGGGTCTTCTCAGGCCAGGCCCTCAGCCGTAGGGGTGCTCCAGACCGCCACCCCGCCGGGAAACTAACCTGTGGCTCGGCGTTCTGAAGCTCCGCCGGTGCGGGGCGACAAGCGCACAGCAGCTCCGAGTTGCCGCAGCTTGAGCCGCGGCAGGAGAGCACCGCCCCGGAGGAAGGCGGGCCGGGGCTGGAGGCGTAACCGCTTACGAGGCCTCGGGCTGGTATAGGGAAATAAGGGGCTGGGCGGGGCGCGCTCGGGCCCGAGGGCGTGTCGGGGGCGGGGCCTGGGGCGAGCTGGGACCAGAACTAAGGCGCTGGGCGGGGCGCGCTCGGGCCCGAGGGGGCGGCAGGGGCGGGGCGCG